ACTTCCGCTCGCGTAATCCCCTCCCCGCATAAGAAGATTAAAAGTTCCGTTAGAAGTGGAACGATCAACGCCGACTTTCCTTTTCAATTTTCCGAAACGAGAGAGCGCGTTGGCGGAGGTGTTCGCCCCCCTCCTTCCCCTCCCCATCCGTGTACTTTTCGCGTTCAGAGGGAACGGGAGGGAAAAGTTGTTGGCGTATCGATTCGCGAGCGACGTCGACGTCGAGTATTGGCACACGGGACGGTCATCGAACTTGGAAAGGAAGTTCTGGCGAAACGGAGCGACGACACGCCGCGATGCTCTCGCTTCTCTGTCCACGAGAGCGGTGGCAACCTTCGTGTGGTGCTTTTTATTCGCGTTCCACCTGTCGCATTGTATTCGAGGTGGCGTGAACGGACGAAACGCGTGGCGCGAGACAAAATGCGATTGGCACCTAGTAGAGAAAGAAGAATATCCTCTTCCCTTCCCCTTTCCTCCCCGCGACGAAGAACGGACGAGGCAAAAAAGGAGACGACCGACGACCGCCACAGGCTTTTCACTCACGTGGCGAATGAAAGTAGCTTTTCGAGCGCTGACACGAGCGCCAATCGTGCGACACGGATATTCGATTTCCACGGGAAGGAAGGAAAGGGACACCTGCCCAATTCCCACGTCGTCCGAAACGCATCGCGAATGTCACGCTTTCGAACGGGATTTCGTCGTCTCGTTTTCTCACACCGCGCGCGCTACCTAATCGATTGCTCTCTTCGATTCCACGATCGACTTCCACGAAACGACTTCGACGAATGTTCCTCCCCCCCCCCTTTTTTTTTCTTTTTTGTTTACGCGTTCATCGATAAAGTTTCGATTTCGGAAAGTTTTTTCGGGAGGAATAAAAATTGCGGCGAACGGTGCACGCGATTGGGCGGAAAGATTATGCGAACGATCATAGGATGAATTTCATCGGGGCCATTAGGAATGAAATCAAAGCCCGTAGAAACTACCGAGACGCCTTCCGCGGCGAATGAAACCGGTTTTTAACCGCCCGCCCGATCTTTTAGCCACTGTTGGCGCGCGTATGTTGGCCGCGCGTATTCTGTTCTCGCCGCGTCCGAGAGCCAATCGCATGTACCGTTGCACGTGCAACTCCATCCGTGACATATTTTAAGACGAAGAAGCTCGTTGTATCTCGTCACTCGTCGCATAAATTTGTACCGTCCCGACACGTTACGACTCGCCACTCTGCTTCCAACAAATCGCTCCCTTGCACCCTCCCACCCCTCCCTCCTTTTTTCTCCCCGATTCTTCCCCTCCCCCTTCCCTTCCTATCTAAATAATCCATTGCTCGCTCGCGCGCGCAAAATCTCGTTCGTAGAATCGGGATTTCCAGCATGCAGAAAAATCGAGGGGCCGCGAAACGATGCCGCTCGCGATGATATCGCGGACTCCCTCCCCCTCAGAGTTGGAGAACAAAAGGGGTGAAAGTTTTTCTCGCCCCTTTGCCAAACTCGCTCGCTCGCTCTCTTTGCCCTTCCCTGCTTGCTCTTAACCTTTGCACACAGGCAGAAGTTCCTTTTTTCTTTTTCCTCCCTCCGAGGGGTTGAGTCACGCGAAACTCCCGCGCTCGACCACCCGGTTTACCACCACCCTCCCTCGCGTCGCGTTAATTAATATAAAAAGGGGCTCGTGTATGCTTTCACGCTCGCTTTTAATTCTTTACTTCTCGATAGGCGATCGAACAGAAGCGAAATGAGAGAGCGTTCTTTCGATCGGGAGCGATGGGGAAAATAGTTCGATAATTTATCGTTTAAAACGTAATAATAATAAAAATAATAATAATGGCGAATTATATTGTAGCGGCCGCTTTTTTTATATAAAAAGCGGGTCAATTATAATATAGTTAATGAGTAAATGTTACTCAAGCATTTTAACAAGTAATTATTTAAAGTAACTTTATTCGAAATTTTTATATTTAAATTTTACGTTTTCAACGGCTATCTCCGTCTTTCCTTTGATTTTCCATCCGATATTCGCGCATGCGTCGATCGATTATCAATTCAAACGTATGAGTCAACTCGTTTATTAGCATTACGTGAAAAGGCGTGTAAACGGCGCTGATCGTCGTCGAGGAAAAAAGACCGCATCCCTGCGGAACGAAAGAGCGAGAAAACCGCCAAAATCATTTCTCTCGTTTCTCTAAAGAAGGATTTTTCAATTCGATCGTACATCTTCGCGTCCTCGAGAGATCGATTTCCCTTGATCTGATCGGTTCCGATTTCTCGATTTCTACCCATTGTTACGTAAACTTACTCGTTACGTGCGCGATAAATAATTGATGAATCATGCGAGCCTTGGATTTTTTTAAAGTCGCGATCGAAAATTAAAATTGGATTACCTTTGGATTACACGGGCGCAGATAAGATTGGAAGAGTGGTGTGATACGCGTACGGAGAAATATGTGACTGTGCAACTGTGTGCGTGGGGGAAACGTCATATCGACAACATGCGGGTCTTTCACTGTTTCACCCAACACCGTTGTTTACGACCGGGTGCTCGGCGAGCGAATCGAAACAGCTGTTTTGATGTCGACGAGGGCCGATTGATTATGCAAATTTATATTTTATCGTCGAATACGTTACATCTTCGATAAATAAATACGACGCGTGTTACATTATTTTTAGCGCGGGCTAAATAAATGTTTATCGTGTAACAAGCAAGAGGGAACAAAATGGTTTTCTCCACGATATCATTGAGCTAATATTTAATCTTAGCGGAGCGAAAAGAACGATGGACACGACGTTTCTTTCACGCTCGAACATTATCTCGAATATAGTTTGCCACTGGGTGAACTTGGGATTAAAGGAAAGAAGAGGAAACGCAAATCCGTTTCTTTTTCTTTTCTCCTTTTTCTAGCGTTAATTTATCTCGAACATCGAACATCCAAGTGGATGAACAACTTGGGATTAAAGTGGAAGAGGAAACGCGAATCCGATCGTTTATCGTTGGCGATGGAATCGAGGATAAATCGACGACGACGTTTTCAACTCGTGCATACACGTTTCAAACCGAAGCCACTTTTCGCGACAAATAACGCGGAGTAGAGGTAAGCGTATCCGGGAAGTTTGGGCCATTGAACCGAGTTACCAGCAGAGTACAATGAGCGACAGAAGCGTGGACGACTGTCGACCAGCCCCATTACCGATTTCTCCGACAGATATGTCTCATTTCCCGCAGGAAATCGAGTCGATGCTTCGTGCCCCTCGAATCGTTATAATTATCCTCTTCCTCCGTTACCAGACTTCAACCAATAAATTTTTCATCGAAAAAGAGTAAGGCTAGAGAGAGAGAATAATAATCTGGATCGATAAACGTACACGAATCCACTCCCATAACCAAACCACACATAATGCAAAAAAAGATCGCATGTACGAGCTACGTTAAAATGTTAGCCATTACTTAAAGAACGTTCGTTCGACCTTCTATGTTACGAATAAACGAAGCAGAAATGACGTGGAACTGGTCTATATGAAATACATAGGATATAGAGAGCAAGGGGCAGAGCGGGGCACGAGTCGCTCTTCGTGCTGGTGTCATAACACGGTGGTGTACAATGACATCTCGCTATTACGAGCCAACGTCGCGTTACACACCACTACTTGTAATTCCTTAATGACTCGGAATGCCGAGTCTTTCTTTCTCTCTTTCTCTTTCTGCTCGAAAGAAGTGAAAGTATCCTCGCGATATACCAACGTCGATGGACTATTACGAGAACGAAAACTCGGCGAAGAATCGTTTCGTGACATCGATCATTCTCCTCTAAAAGAACTAATCTGAATAGATTCGTTTATCCGTTAGGGTTCGTTCGTTGATCGAACGTAAACAGAAATAGAAGGGGGGAGAAGAGGAAGAAGAAAGAGAGGTCGTTACAAACGACTCGTTCGCTCGTTCGATCAGGGCCGTGACGGTAAAGACGACGAGGTCGATTACGTGTTCCAGAAGGACGCCAGAAGGGGAGACACGAGACGAAGGCACACGAGGTGGAAGGAGCCAAGGGGGGAATATAATTCAGCGACTTGGAAGCCGGTTTTCCATAGGCATAGCCTCTATCTCGCGAAACTACTCGCGAACTACGAGCAAGAAGGATGAGTCACGGCTGTATCGCCCGTCCCGTATCACCGTCTCTTTCTCCCTTTTCACCGTGATCGACCACGCGAAAGACGGAGAGAGAAAAAGAAACGAAGGAGGAGGAGGAGGTTAGCCCTCGAGAGATTGCCTACGCGCGATCACTGGAAAATGAAGAGAGAGATTGAAAAACCTACCCTCTCGATTCGTTGCCCTTCCTCCTTTCTTCCCATCCCCTCTCTGCGATCGAAAATAGATCGAAATATTCGATTCGATCTCTCCGGTAAATTCGTTCGCTTTTATCATTTTTTTTTTTATTCCGTCGGTAAAGTAAATAACGTTCGATAATCGCGAAAAGAGCTCGAGATTTATTGGACGTCTCGAGGCCAATTAAAACACCGATCAAAGTTTCCGATCCGTGACGGTTATCGCGCCGCCTGTTCCCGACGAAGACGACGACGACGATTGCTCGAAGATCGAAGAGAGTCCCCCCTCCCCTTCTATATACATTCTATATATATTCTATATATATATATATATATATAGCTATTTCTACGTAACATCACGGTTCGATAATCGGTCGGCTGATAAATCGATCGATCGACCGGCGGCTTCGTAAGTTCATTGCTAGGTCGGGACACGTGTGCAATTGCACGGGCTAAATGAACCGCTTAGAAGCAACAGTTGGACGATCTCCATATTCTCGCCGTCGGCCGGATAAATTGAATGTATTTATCGATTCTAACGACTACGTCTTGCTCTCGAAGAGGGATTGTTCGATGTTTCTTCTTCGATTGACCGATATTATTCCACACGGGATAAGATAGAGAGAAAAAGGGGCGGAGGGGGGGATTAGGAAAAATAAAATATCCCGGTAAAGTGAGATGAGATTTACTCACCTCTGCGAGAGGTTCCTCCTTGGTGACGTCTCCATTCTTGGGCGCTTCTTCGCGGGCAGGCTTGTTCTTATCCTTCTTGCTGAAGCTGATCGACCTGAAGGACCACTTTTTCTTCATCTATGAACGAGGAAATACGGTATCGATAATGATCGAATGATCTCATTACGCGCGATACTGGGTACGTGCCTTATTTTTCTAATTCGCGCGACACGAGTAGAGAGATCCGCATTTTTTTTTTTTTTTCGATTGATTCATCGCGTTTTTTGTCGCAAACGTTTCTCTCGCAAACGTCTCTTTTTACACACCTTCCCCTCTCTCTCTTGCTCACGCAATAATACGTTGCATAATATACGCGTTACGCGCTCACAGATTAAAGCAGATTGATGAAAGCAGGGAAAGGGATATGGATCTCACCTTTTCCTTCTTCTTCGTTTCCTTATTGTCTGGAGAAGTGGCAGTGTTTGGAGTGGACGCTTCTGTCGGCGTTGTGATCTCTGCCGTTTCCGCGGGAGATTCTCCGCCCGACTCTTGCTTCGTTTCCTTTACCTCTTCTTGCTGGAACAAACGAAATTTGTGGATGATCGAACCGTGTTCTCTCTCTCTCTCTCTCTCTCTCTCTCTCTCTCTCTCTCTCTCTCTACACGCGCGCAATTCTGGTATTAGAATTTAAAGAAAAAGAAACGCGAAGGGGATCGAAAAATCGAGCAATCGGTTGGAAGATTGGGTTATCTCGTTCGTTTCGAATATACGCACCTCTCCTTGATTTTACGCTACATAAATTTAACAATCGCGCAACGTGTACGTGATCGAATACATTTTTTTGTTTTATAGGTGCAACGCGATATTCGCGCAAATTACTCTTTTTAACGGTTGGACGGAGAACAAAGCCGGAATAAAATACGAGTTGGAAGTAGATCCATAAAAATTAGCGAGCTCCGTGGAATTTCGTCATTTGTCACGGTTGTGCGAACCGCGGCCGAACGATTGCATCACCATCACCGCGTGCCACGCGATTCCATTTTTTTCCCACCCATCGACGAATAATCTATCTCTCTCTCACTCCCTCCCTCTCTCTCTCTCTTTCGTGTCATAAATATATTATATTTATATATATATATATATACACCGTATAGCATCGCGTTCAATCATACATCGCGGCCTTTTTTCGACCTTCCACCTAACCTTTTTATTTTTTTTTTTTTTACAATTCTTGAAGAAACTTTTATTCAACTAGGCATCCTCATTCGATCCGGGAAAGCATCGTACGAATATCGCAGGTCGGTTATCAATCCTAGCCTCGTCTTTGTTCTTCGAAGTAACCTTCTCTCTCTCTCTCTCTCTCTCTCTCTCTCTCTATCTATCTATCTATCTATCTATCTATCTATCTATCTATCTCGCTCGCTCGCTGGCTCGCTGTTAGCTACCTCGAGATGGCTAAAACGGAGAGGAGAAAAATCGGAGGTTGATCGGGGTGGATCGACGGAGGCGCGCTCTGGCGGCCGCGAGATTTATCTCTGTGAGTGAGACAGTTGCGGTTAGGACGTATAATACGGGACGAAACCGCGAAAATCTCGGATTACGAAGAAGGATCTCAGTGGTTCTCCGTACGGCCAATTATACGCGTACACGATTACAACAAATACGACTCGTAACGTGTACTGCCTTCTGTTTCGATCTTTCGATCTTTCCCCGAGTTAAAAATCGGATAAACGAAATAACAATAGAAGCGAGCTTGGCGACGTAAATTTCGATCGAATGGAGAACGAGATATATGTATATATATGTGTGTATATATATATATATATATACACACACACACACACACGTTATTTTCAACGTTCCCGATCACGATTCCAATCGAACGGAATACGGCGAACCGGGCATTGTTTGCCGCGTTGTTCGTCGAAGGCCGGGTCTCGTCTTTGCCGTGCTGCGATACCGTAAACACTAGCCGACTTTATTATCGATGCAAATCCTCCGGAACAATTCCACTTGACCGTTTATACGTTTCATGTGCTACTAATAAACGAGTTAACTCGTACGCTCGAGATTGATAATCGAAGAAGGGTACGCGATAGTATTCTTGTCATCCATCGAAATCGATATAATCGAGATCGAGGCATAGGCGATTATTAGAAAATCGAAGGAAAATACGATACGCAGAGTTGGGCGCGTTAAATAAGTTAGTTGAAAATTTCGAATAATAAGTTGCTTCGTGTGATTATTTATTAAAATGAGCGAATAATATATTTATAAATTGATCCGCTTTTCGTATAGTTTGGTATTATTATTATTTATATTTATTATTTATTTTATTATTTATTATTATATTGTTTTAAATGAAAAATATATTTATATATTTATATATTGTTTTATATTTTATTATTTATTATTATTATTGCTTCAAACGATAAATTATCGCGAAGTAACTTTTTATTCGTAACTTCGACTGTTGATGATACGTTTCGAATGAGGAAACAGAACCTTCCATGCATTTTTCTATTATGTAAATATCCGGTTATTTTTATTGTTGCCGGCCGTGCAGGAGGACGCACGCGTTGGATATATCCTCGCGGGATCGCGGCTGATACCGTGGAGAAAGGAAAGGAAAGGGAAGATGGCCGGGTAGGCTACGTGGCAGCAGAAACGAAGAGGCAAAAATCCCGGCGATACCTCGGCCTTACCGCGGTTTACCGAGCTTTTGAAAATTTTTTCCTCCGAAACGACGGACGAAAAAAAGGAGAAACGCATTTTAATCAAAAATTAGAACGTTGGTATTTTTATGTAGCGCGCAACGAGCAAGCAAGGATTGAATATTCATCGAAAGATGCATAGGATCGCGTTATAAATAAAAGAATGTATCCGAATGATTTATGCACGAGTTAATATATTGAAAGGTGTATATGTACGTACGAGGCGAGGTAGACCTTACACGCGCTGGCTCCATGCAAAAATTCGCGTTTGTCGATCGAACGGTATCGGCATACGAAGAAATGGCCGGTTCGAGGACATCGCGAAGGACGGGGCTCGATGCAGGTGCAGTTTTTCTGCGACGAATTCCACGTGGCTGAATCATCCACTAGCCTAGCTAAGCGAAATCTCCCGCTTGTTTTCGGCGAAATCTCATTTAACCGCGTCACGTTATTATATATTACGATGTATTATATACGACGATTCGGGAAGAAACGAGAATTTTTGACGATCGAGTATAATTATATGGCTTCTCGCGTTCGATGATAGGAAAAATTTAATAGTTGAACTTGCGAATAAAACTTACTTGGATAATGGCAAATAACTATAGCATTAAACGGCCAAGATATTATATGAAAAGAGGATCGATTATAATATCTACGAATAAATATTATTCGAGCATTTTAATAAATAATTATTTAAAGTAACTTTGTTCGAAATTTTTTAACCGATTATTTTTTTCAATGGATTAATGCCCAATTTTGCTCGCGTTTAATCTCGAAATTGGCGAAGATCCTTTTTCTCTAATCGCGAGAGGAACTGGTGAAAAAGTTGTGCGCACGCGCGAGCGAGAAATATCGAAGGAGGGGGAACGGACTGTATCGTCGGTACGCATGCACGCATGCACACAGCTCGTCCAGAAAAGATTCGATGGAATTCGAATGGCACGCAGTTTTAATTAGCAGAGACAAACAGATGAGTCGCGTCTCGTATTAATTAATAAACCGAGTCGGTAGGGGGAGCACGATGATTCACGCAGAAAGCGCTTTTCTCGAGATGCTTTTGCGCTACATAAGCCGGGCGCGTTTAAAACATCGCGTGTTCCTCGGCGATCCGCCGGCCTATCCGGCCGAATAAAACGCGCTATCGGCGTGGAATTCAGGTCACTCGGTAACTCGGCGTTACGTACACTTTTGCGAACTCTCTCCCCACCCGATAAAAAAAAAAATTCCGATCGAAAGAGAAGAGGAGGGCGAATCCTGCTGGATAACTCCGATGGATAAAGCAAAACACCGATGGAATATCATAAACGTAAAAGAGGCAGGTGTTCGACGGCCCGGCTGCAACGTTGCACCTGTCTCTCTCTCTCCCTCTCTCTCCCTCCCGATCCAAGATTTCTACGAGATTTCGCGAACAGATATCGCGAGAGAAGATTTTGCAAATGTCCACGCGTAATTGGGGAGTTAGGTATGCGGAGCAGGTAATATGTATTTACGTTTACGATTACAGTTACAGTTCGCGACGCGAAACGGTATTCTCTCTCTCTCTCTCTCTCTCTCTCTCTCTCTCTCTCTCTCTCTCTCTCTTTCTTCTACAAAAATTCAACTTAGTTTCTACGAATCGATCCAACTGCGTAATATCTCGGCGGTAAACCGAAGGTTGCCTCGATCGATGTTGCGGGATCGATAACACGATTTACGGAGAATGAACGCGCGCGGTTTCTTTGGGGTTCGCGCGTGAAAGCGAGATCGAGAAATTGATATATCGAGTCCTATATATATATATATATATATGTATCGAAAGATTTCCACGCGAAATCAACGTACGAAGGGAGAGAACACTTTCGTTCTCGCGTCGAATAAAATCGTTCCAATTTACTTGTGCCTCGAGTCGAGTGGATCTAGGCGAACCGTTACACACCTCTGGAAAGATCGCTATCCTGCTTTCGTTAAGTGGCACAATGGGCGTTCTCCGCGTGTAAAAATACACTTTTCCAGGAAATTGAATGCACGCCTTTCTCGCAACGATTTTATCGCGTAACTCGCTCGGTCTAGAAATGCGCTCGCGATCGATAATAACGTCCCGACTATTATTCTCGACCAAACGAATTATCAGAGAGATGATGATCGTTGAGAGGTGTGAAAAAAAAAAAAAAAATAGCCGATAACCAGAACTTCTTTTCCTCAATTGTTCCCAATGCTTCGAAGGGGGGACGGAAAAAAAAATGGAAGAAAGAGGAGCGATCTTCGCGCTCGTTCCATCTCTGTTCCAACGTGCTCGTTACCGTATCTAGCGCATGACAGCTGTCGGGGTTGCTCAATCGAGGAAATATCAAGTTTCGTCTAGCTTGGAGCATTTCGATATACAGTGACACGCTTATGCGATTCGACGAGAGCGACAGTTGAAACTTTCGATGGTACGAGGAGGGGAGAGAGAGAGAGAGAGAGAGAGAGAGAGAGAGAGAGAGAGAGAGAGAGAGAGAGAAGCCATCATCGTTGCCCGTCTGTCGTTGACAGCACCTAGAGTTTTTTAAATCTCCGATTTAATTCTCCTCGGAATCGACGTTGAAAATACCGATATACGTACGAAAAATCCTCGTGGTCGTAAATCGATCAGATTTAATAATCGAGCTATAGATTACGTTCCAAGGAAAAAGAGAGAAAAGAAAAAAAAAAATAGTACTCGTGAATCGATCGATAATTCATCGATTCAATTTTAGTTTGATAAATTTCGAGAAAACTTGTCATCGAGATACAGAAAGATATCGAGAATAGAGAATTTGTTAGAGCGTAGAAAAAAAGGAGGAGGAGGAGGAGGAGGAGAAGAAGAAGAAACATACCTGCTCTTTGTCTTTCTCTTTTTCCGTGGCATCGTCTTTATCTTTGTCCTTATCCTCGGGAACGTCCGTGTGCGGCGCTATACCATTGGTAGTAGGCTTGGTGTCGGTCTCCTCGATCCTCTCCAGCTTGCCATCGCCAGGTGCGGCAGCATCCCCGACACCACCGTCGGCGGGCAACCCCTCCTTCTTCGGAGTCGTTGTTATATCCACGGACCTTCTGCTCTGTCTCGCTCCCATCTTTCCTCTTTTTGCCTCTCTAGCCCCTTCTGCTCGCCTGTCCCTCTCGCTCGCGCTCTCCGGATGCTGTAATCAGGTGTCGTGCGTCCAATAAAACTGACCTGCAATCAAAAGCGGCGAAAGTGAGGATGGAGCTGCGAGAGATTGCGAACGATCCAACGTTTCTTGCCTTTCTTTATTGTAAGGTAAGAAAAAAGTAAGGTTCGAAGGGACGCATCATTTATTTTCCGTCTCTATTTTTCATCGAAGGAGAAAGATAATCGCGTACAGGTGCGCCCTCCCTGGCTAGTACAGCGCCAGAGGACAGACGTCTCGCGTACGAAGATCGACGGTTACGCGCAGGCGCGGAGAAGCTTTTTCGCTCCCGTACACGGGACGCACGGATCGTGAAAGAAAGAAATCGCGAAGCGCGCCGATGATAATGAATAATATATGAACTCGCCGCGCGAAAGACAAAGAAAAACAGAGATAGGAGGCTTGGAATAACCAACGGGACACGTTTCGCGATAAAGGAATTCTCCAAGGAATCGTGCATCGAGGCTCTAGAGAGAAATATACACTAGAGGACGAATTGCAATTTGCTCCCTATTTTTTGCTACCATTTGTATTCGATTCGCGTTAGAAAGAAAAATGTCGAAAAAACGGGTATAAAGAAGCTCTCTCTCTCTCTCTTTCTTTCTCTCTCCTTCTCTAATTATCGTCGTAGAAAATAAATGGTTAAAAAGTCGGTTAACGGTTTCGAGGTCGATCCGACGTTTCTTTCACGGCGGAGGAGAGGAAGCGATCCGTTGTATTCGAGCGAGAACCGCAAAAAAACTGGTACGGCGAGGCAAAGTCGAACAACACCAGATCGGATGTATTAGCGCACCACCTAGATGCACCACCTAAAGAGCACGTGGCGTGGCTACGCACCGCTGCCCTCTTCGTACCCACGATGCGTAACGCATCTGGCTCCCTTCTATCAAGATGAAAAATACCCGAGATATCTCTCCTCACAGACTAGTGTAAACGCGGCGCGTATAGCGTGTACTTCTTCTTTTCTTCTGCCAAATTTCGAGATTTTTCGCAGAGAGATTTTTCTTTTCGTCGAGATGTATGGCGAAATCGAATCTCTTCCCGACGATCGAAAACTTACCGAGTATCGAAGTGCGGCGAACGGATCGTTTTCGTCCAAAAATTTTAAAAATTTCGTCGAAACGAAAGAGTCGATTATCAATCGATAAACGATATTTCGAGGTTTTTTTCAAAGGCTAAGGTAACAACAACAATAACAACAACACGACACGACGCGCGCGCATCGCTTTGTCACTGAATAATAGCATTTGTCTCTGGCCAGCCTATTCGCGGTGCATTGCACTTTCCACTCGCGCTCTACCGCTCTACCACGCTTGCGCTAATGCGTTACAAGCTATCGTCTTTTATATACCGGGTGGCTATATACGATACGTTACGGGCGAAATTGACGAGTTTCGTTCGAGAGAAAAATTCAGGCCCATCGGACGACAATAACAATATTTTTCTTATAAAATATTTTCAGTCGAAAGGATACAGTGTATTGATAGGAAAAAATTGGACAAATATTCATGTTTCGTCTCTGTCGAGCGTAGGGAACACGTGCACTTATGAGGATACGGATAAAAAATAGATTTAATACGGGCGAAGATCGAGGCGAGAACACGTGTGTTGAGCTACGTGGTACAGTTCGTGGGAAGTGTGGAATCATCATCCCACAGGAAAAATAGCTTTCCTTTCCTCTCGTAACTCACTTCTCCTACCTACGATTTATCTCTCGCTGACGCTCCTATATTTAGTATATCGACGGCCACGAACTGCAACGAGAGATAAGAAGCAACGAGCGACTCCGTCTCGTTCGATCGCTGCGAAGAAATTACCGCTCGTATTCGTCTTCTCTTACCCGTATTTCAATTCAACGGTACGGAGAGGAACGTCGTTAAATCCATTTATTATTTTCTACGAATTTTTTCCACGAATCAAAAGTAAAAGAATTTCTTTGCTTTACGCGAAATCTTTTTTTTTTTTTTTTTTTTTCGAACTTTTTATGTACACGTACGTTCTTCTTGATTCGAAGCATCTCTTTACTGGCGAAAACTATAGAAAACTGAACTATTGAATACTATAGAAGTCGTAAATCTTTACGCGCTACGTTCGGAATCGCTTGGCGACAAAATGGGAGAGCATGTCACATTCCATTCTTTATCGAAGAATAACGTTGCTGCTTGACTCACCGCTTTACGATTTGCCGCTATCTCGAACCTCTTGTCCCGTTCGAGAGCAAAGTTAAGCCAAATGATACTGGTGAGTAAATATCTGATCCGTGACAATCGAATCCAGTTTGCTTATTTTGGAACGAAATCGCATCTTTTCTATCTTCCTCGTTTTTTCCTTATCGTAAATTTCGTTCGAGAAGAATCGCGTCACAATGATCGAGAAACGGACGGAATAACGACGACTTTGCCTTCAACCGGTCGACTAATTATCTATTCAAACGAACAACAAATAAAACACGTACCGAGATTTCTTTCTGCGGATCCGCTCAATGGATTAATAAGGGCATTCAGAGGTCACTGCCGTCGAAGACTATTAAGGCTTGAACGACGATGTCACGTCAAGATCACCACTGACGTATGTATGAGAAACTAAATTCCAGCGATATAATATAACGCGATATAATATATATATATATATATATATATATATACACACACACATGCACACACATACGCGTGCGACGATTATGCGATTTTCCGGTTGAGATCGGGCAATGAGATTATTTAAAACGACGCTCGAAGCAGCTCGAGATTAAACGCTGAAAAATACGGTGAATTCTCGAGAAAAGATAACACCAAATTTTCAACGTATTTGCTCGATGACTCAGAGAACGTCGTCCGTATCACGAACGTTTAACGGTTAATCACCGATCGAACGCACTTTCACGAATCGTTGAAGATAAAATTGGCGTTAAAAGCCGAGCTAGATTCGGAAGATAAAATTGGCGTTAAAAGCCGAGCTAGATTCGGAAACGCGAATATATTACGTACAACGACAATCGGGATTAATGCGTTAACGTCGTATCGAATCAAGGACATGGGATCGAAAGTTTGCACGTTACGAACGAGTTCTACGAATACGACGTAAGAACACGGCCGAACGTGACACTGGATCGACTAAGCGAATAAGCACACGCGCATCCAGCCGTGTTGGATAGGTTGAATCATTAGCGGTTAAACTGTATCCTACTTCGTATCGAACGAGGAAAGAGGAAAGAAAAAGAGAGAAGGAGAAAGAAAAATACTTTTCCCTGGTTGCATCGCGGCACGGTATGCGTACGAGAGCACCCTCTATTCCGTGCTCGATTCTCACGAGGTAACGGGCTCGAAAGAGGCTTTGTACACCTACTACTTATGTACACCGATCGATCGTCCATTATTTTCACAGGATTAACACGCGTGATACTCGTGACGCGGGGATACCAATGGCGAATAATCGAGGCTGGAAAAAAAGGACATCTGCTCGGTCCGCTCGGTTCTCGAAATTACGAGAATTACGAGCGTGGCTGGAGAGAATGAAGCGAACGTCGCCGGCCCGTATTCAGGCGCGTGTCCCGCATGCGTGAACGGATCCGGCACGGCGCACGTGCGTGCGTACGGAACCGATGAAAACGTTGTCGTAGTAAAGGGCAGAGAAGAAAGCTTGGGCGAGGGAGGGAGGGCGGGTAGGAAAGGAAAGGTGGGGCAGGGCAGGACACAGGATACGAAGGCAGGGATCAAGTGGGCTTAAAAATACACCTATATCCGGAGTAATATGTGCGTCTATTTTTGGTCGAGTCGCGCGCACCGCGTGTTCGCCCTTCGCTTGTGTAAACACCGAGCGGATTTTGCCCGCCAACTCCCTGGTCAAACTCCCTGGAACCCGAGTCGAAAAACACTCGTATAAACAGATGAAAGGAGGAGAGGAGGTGGGCAACGTAAAAGAATCTGGAATGGGAGGGGTTTTCGACGTTTTGAACCATTGACCGATCTTTTCGGAAGAGAGGGTGAAAAACAAAGGAAAAGGACGCGAAAATAAGGGGAGGGAGGAGAGAGAGAGAGAGAGAGAGAGAGAAAAAGGGAGAGAGAGAGTTTTTGGCGAAAAACCGGTCGAGTCGCGAGCCGTTTCAAAAGCACGTCTGCCTAAGCAGTCGGAACAGCTCTTTTCTTCGTTCTTGTAAACGAGAGAAAGGCAGATGTGGGCAAGTTAACGACCCGTTATCGCGTGGATGGCGTGGACTCGCCACTGCTGAAACTGGTTGGCCGTCGATTGCGATGCAAGAAGGGAAAAAGTCGACACGACGCAATCCGAGTCAGAGAGGAGCGGCAAATCGCGAACATTTACCAGTATATGCCAACGCACCTGCGTTCCACGACCGAACACTGTCCGACACATGACGGAGAGGAAATCTGCGCGAACCTACAGACTATCTCCACGCAGATAAATACGCGAAAATCGCAGAAGAGGAAAAAGTTCGAAGGGAAACAACAGGTTAACGTGCATAGACGAACTGGCCTACTAGTCGGATCGACAACATTTTCTCGTATACCTTTCTCCATCGGCTGCCATTCCCCAACCGACAACAATCGCTTCCGTGGAAGCCTTGACTGCGTTTTAAATGCATGGCAGGTAGAGGCCTGCTATGCAAAATCGGCGAAGAGAAGGGAGAAGAAAGGAAGAGAGAGAGAGAGAGAGAGNAGAGAGAGAGAGAGAGAGAGAGAGAGAGAGAGAGAGAGAGAGAGAGAGAAACAGACACGTCGCCTCTGTTTAAGGTACCCGGCTTCTCGTCAAGAACGTATCTCCTTTCTATATCCCTCTCCTTTCTTTTTTTGCCATGGTAACAGTAAATGCTGTATCTCTGCGAGAACGGACAAAGCCTGCGATTTATCTCGTTCCGTCGATTTCTGTGAGGAACGACTGCTTTTCGAGAGAAAACTAAAATTTCTTCTCTACGATTCCTTCCCATTGCAATATTCTCAATACGGAGATTAAAAAGTTTTTGCATGTAACGGATGAAGAAAAACGAGGAATACCACGAGGTCTGACCGATTGCGAGATACCGGTGGGTCGTAGCCAGAAGGAAAGGTCACTGGTTGTCTTGAAATCGTGCGTATGGTCGATCGTTCGGGGGTTAATACCGGCTAGGTAGTGGGAGAAGAAATCAAGATGGCGTAACCGGCCGCTGCTTCTAACGATTGTACGATTGCAAATATGACCGTGACTTTTCGTACAGATCACCGAACGCACGCACATCCCGATCATCGAGATAGTTTTCTTCGACGAAGAAATACACGTCGTTACACGTGGATTCAACGAGAACTCGAAGCGAAACTTTCGTTTCGAACGATTGGAATCGAAAGCCGGGTCCGTACGGTGTACTCGGCTATATCGATTGATGCTGCCCATTTTCAAAATGGCGCGGGGGTATACACTCGAAATCTCATTCGACGCGAACGATTTCCGCCACGCGACTTTTTGACACGAAAATAGGAAAAAAAAATAGCCGATTCGAACAAACGCGCGAACATAATAAGCACGTAGACATGAATCTATAAAGGAAAAAGAAAAAAAGCAACAAAAGTGGACGGTGCAACGAATCAAAGACCGGCGCTGCGAAGACACGTAAATACGAAGACGAGATAAGTAAGAGGCGCGCACAACCGGCGAATAACCGAACGAGAAAACGGCGGAATCGAGAAATGATTCGGGTACTTACCTCGATAGTTGAGGGCGTCGTAAATGGCACGACGAGGTAAAATTTCCCTGTAGAGGAGTGTCTCTCGTCGCTGCTCCACACAAAATACACACTGGATATATTATTCCGAAAGAAGGTGGCGCGGTGGCGGCGGCAGCGGCAGTGACGGTAGCGGGCGTGTAGCACGATGCGTGGCGTCTAGACAGACACAAGAGTACGAGTGATGAAGCGACAACGATGGCAGAGACACGCGAGAATATTTGCTCGGTAGAAGAAAGAAGAAACGAAACACCAAATTCGCCTACGGCCAAGCACAGGCAGCTTTTAGCGGGAGCGCGTTCGCGAACTCATCCACTTGGCTCGGTAACGCGCGACCGACTGGCGAGAGAAGCGGAGGGGAAGTGGCGTCCGTCTGTCCGTTCGACCGTCTTTCTGTCACCAACGTATTGCCCTCTCGTTTTCTCTCTCTTTCTCTCTCTCACATACACACGCACACACTCTCTACTTCTCTCTCATTCTCAACCGCGGGCGTTCAATCTCTTTCCTTTCTTTCTTTCTTTCTTTCTTTCTTTCTTTCTTTCTTTCTTCCTTCCTTCCTTTCTTTCTTCCTTTCTTTCTTTCTTCTTCCTTTCGCTCTATCTCTCTCCCGCTCTTCTCACACTCTCAATCCCTTACTCACTCATTCTTGCTATTTCACTCTTTTGCACTCTCCCATTTCCATAAATCTCGTCTATCCTTTTTCTTTCTCGGTCGAGTTTTTTCCCCTTATTTTTATTTTTTTCCCTTTTCATTTACGTTCTTCTTATGGATATATGCATATATATATATATATATCACTTCAACTTGCAAATCACCGGCAAATATCTACGCGTATACTATCGCCATAACAACATCCGTTTCACATTTGGAAAAACACGAAGAAAATTAATCAAGATACGAATCGAGAGACTCACCCCCGAGACACGAGAGCGACACGAGAAATCGGCAAGCAAAGGAACGATAATCGCGAACCCCCCCAAACGTACGTACAACAGCCACCGATCGATCGCCTCGCGTTTCCTCTCTCTGCTCCGATCTCTCGGCAACGATCCGACTCGAAACGACCGTTCCTTTGTTCCCACCGAACAGAGTTTCGGTTGCGTTCGTATATACCTCCTCTCTCTTTGTCCCGAGGAAGTCGAGCGTGGGGAGGGCCCGACTAACGCGCACAAACTGGCAAAATTCGGCGAACAAACACCTCCTCGTAACGATCCTTTTTTTCTCGTTTTTTTTTTTCTTTTTTCTTTTTTTCCCTCGACGATCGACCTGCGATTCGCGCGAACGCGCTTCCCCAATCCGTTGCGTTCGCGTCCTCTATATTTTGCGGTTATGTGTCGTATACGTTCACTCTCGAGCGCCGTTTCGTTTTACCGCACTCCGCGCTGCTCGACGGTCAGAGAAAGAATGAGCTCCGGGATAGACGGGAGGCAGGATCGTACCGGCTGAGCCCGGCACCCCGGGATTCGATTCGGATGGTGGCAGCCCTGCTTCCAGCTCGCCAACACCATTAGGGTATGGGGGTTCGACTCCAGGGCGGGGTCCTGTCACGAACAGCTCCCTACCTCGAAGCCATGCGATCCAAGTGTACGTTTTCAGGGTCAAGATTTTTTTTCCAACCCCCTTTGGAAAATTCGCCTATCCTCGATTATCCGCTCTCGATTCGTTAATCAACGCCCGATTCCATTCCTCGATATTTTTTCGCACCAATATTCCTCGATTCGTTCAAACGAATTTTTACTAAATGGTTTGACGCGATTAATGACCTACCGTAACACGTTTCGTGAAAAATCGATTCGCCAAAGTCAAAATTATGAATTTATATGCGCGACTATGTTTTGCCTACAACGTAATTTCCTTATTATCGCGTCTTTCTTTTCCGGTTATTCAAGTCCGTTAAAATACTGGTTGAAAGAATTAACTAGAGGCAGAGAGAGAGAGAGAAAGAGAGAGAGAGAAAGAGAGAGGCGGATAATGCGCGATTGCAACGCATTCTAGCTAGAAATCGTTCGGTGTTTCGACAACTACACGGTGATCATTCGAGCGAAACAAAATACGCGTATACCTGCTGGCTGCTACGTCGACTATATTACGAAGAAGCCGCCTTTCGCCTTCCATCGTGGTGAGTAACGCGAAAAGCGGGATTGTAGATATTATAATGCTCGATAATATCGACACCATTGCCGGACACTCACGAGAGTTAGATAAGACTAGACACCGGCTAGCCAAACGTTCAACTCTCTCTCTCTCGTTCTTCAGAGACTTCGATGCGTCGCGCCGCATTGCTTTTCCACGAGGAGCACACGTAAAATTCCTGCGCCCCGCGTTCAGACTATGCCGTCGCCGTCGCATCGATTTCCGAACCACGCGGCCACCCATACCGTCTGGCGAACTTGGAAATCATACGGATATTTATCGATCTCCTCGAACTACCGACTACGCGAACTACCAACGCTAATCCCAACCCGATATCGTACAATAGAAGCGTTCGATTGCAAACAATATTTTTTCCTCGTAAAATGCTGCTGCAACGTGTATAATCTTCGAATCGTTTCCCATTCGTAATCGATACTCTGCCACTAACATTCGATCATTGATCAATCGATCCAGCATCGAGTTTTATCGCTATATCGGATAATACGTTTCGATCCTTGTGCCTCGTTTCCCGAAAAAAAAAAAAAAATTTCTCATCCTCGTCGTTGAGATCGAATCGAATATTCTCAATCTCGATCCAAACGTTCCATTTCGCATTTGTTGATTAATAATAATAACGTGTTTTTTTTTTTTATTCGAGTAATTCGATTTCAACGTGCAGAAATCGTTAGAATCGTAGTTTCCGACCGAATGATTCCACGCCTCGAAATTCCAACGGAGGATAATGGTGGAACGCGTGCTAAAGAACGGGAAGAGTAGTTGGCTCTAACCGTGCGCGGTTACTCACTCGAAACGATGAAACCGTAACGCTACGAATTACTCGTAACCGTGATGCCAATTCGAACGGAGAGCGTTGCTCTCCTTGTTGCCGCGAGTTAATGGGTAAAAGCGATCGCGCACGTTGGACGAGGTAATAATCGCGCGGAAGATGGTCGAAAGGCGGATCGAATAACAAAACGGAGCGGTGGGGAGAGATTCGGGCATAGAATATAATGGCTTTCCTTAAATTAATGGAAATCGATTTTAAGAGTGCATATAGTTTCCTAGATACCGATTCCTAGGGACACAATCTGACGCTGCACAAAGTATATATATATATAATAATTGAAATCTTTACAGCGGTTATCATCGCCCAATAATAAATTCGATTAATAATAATTCATCGTTATCGATTATCATATTTCTTTTTTTTTTTGCTCGCGTTTAATCGTCATTTTTTTAAGATTGCCCTACACAATTGCTACGAATTTTTATTTTCTCTCTCTCTCTCTCTCTCTCTCTCTCGATCCATTTTATGCGCAAAATATATACATAATAATTGAAATCTTTACAGCGGTTATCATCGCCCAATAACAAATTCGATTAATAATAATTCATCGATTATTATATTTCTTTTTTTTTTTTTGACTCGCGTTTAATCGTCATTTTTTTAAAATTGCCCTACACAATTGCTACAAATTTTTATTTTTTCTCTCTCTCTCTCTCTCTCGATTCACTTTATGCGCAAAATATATATATAATAATTGAAATCTTTACAGCGATTATCATCGCCCAATAATAAATTCGATTAATAATAATTCATCAATTATCATATTTCTTTTTTTTTTGGCTCGCGTTTAATCATTACTTTTTTAAGATTGCCGTACACAATTGCCACGAATTTTTATTTCTCTCTCTCTCTCTCTCTCTCTCTCTCTCTCTCTCTCTCTCTCTCTCNTCTCTCTCTCTCTCTTTCTCAATCCACTTTATGCGCAAAGTATATATATAATAATTGAAATCTTTATAGCGGCTATCATCATCCAATAATAAATTCGATCAATAATAATTCATCGATTATCATATTTCTTTTTTTTTTGGCTTGCGTTTAATCGTCATTTTTTTAAGATTGCCGTACACAATTGCCACGAATTTTTATTTTCTCTCTCTCTCTCTCTCTCGATCTACTTTATTTAAAGCATGGCTGTTTGTCGAAGAGATGGAGCTATTATATAGCAACATTTCAGTTCCAAATATATATATATATATAAAATAACAACGACAAGCAGCAGAGTACGTCGAAAAGTGGCGCGGGGAAGGTATCGACAGGGGTTAGCTATTCTTTCGCAACGACAGGAAATGAAAACCGGCTCTCTTCTAAGGAGACTCGACAACGGTACACCGGCGGGTATATATGGCGAACAGAGAGAGGCGATTTCCATGATAACGCGACCACGTCTATAAAGTGCGGCGGAAGGATCGATCTCGCGATCTACACAAGATTGCTTTCTTTCGTTTTGGCGGCCGAACGCGCGCCAAAACGTGCGTACAACCTCGATACGATTTATTAATAACCTCTTTGTGCGAAAGTGTTCTGCCACGCGATGATCGAAACGGAAGGAGGGGGAGGGGAGAAAGAAATAAAAAAAAACGGGCGACGAGATGCAGAAGAAACGTTCTCAGCCTTCGTTCGTAACCCTTTCCCCCCCTACGAACTCTACGATTTAAATTGTTCAATATTAAAGGATGATTTTCTAAAAGTGTTCTCGCGTGGAACACTTTTTCATTTATTTATCTATTTTTTTTTCCTCCTCCGTTTAATCGAATTTGGAAATCGCGTCGAATTAAAATCGAATAGCGAAGATGCAAAGCGAAGGAATGTAAACGGATCCCCTTCGGTTCGTATCGTTGGGGGAAAGGGAGGATATACGCCGCGTACGAATATAGCGTGTAATAGACGGCGTCGATTCTCGTATACGGCACGTTCATTGCCGGAAACGGAAGCTCCACCTTAGTCGCTGACTACGACAACGTTTGCGCGAGCGTACACACCACTCGAGAAGAATGTCGCATCGGTGACGCGCATACCTGAAAATCGGATCGTCTGTCGGGCAAACACGTTGTTCCATTTCGTCTCGATTTCGTCTCGATTTCGAACCGGAAGGATCGAGCGACATTCACGGGGAGGGGATAAAATTAATCGAGTCGAACCGTTTTATATTAGATCGAGGTGGCAATTCGATCGAGGCAATGAAAAAAAAAAAAAAAAAAAAAAAAAAAAA